GGTTCCCTTGCATTATTTCTCGGGGATTGGCAAGTGTGTCTTGGGCCGTTCTTCGGTTGTGTGCAAGATGGGCTTGTGTTGTGTTGGATCCCGGCCCCTGGAGGGAGGGAGGGAGGGAAGTGTGATGTAATCCAGACAGGCACACTAGCGGGGAGGGGGGCTGTCTCCAACACTGGCTTCCTTGGTGCCTGAGCTTTCAAACCCTCAACCAATTGCTGGTGCCCATCCTCCCCCTCAGGATCCTCCCTTGCCCTGATAAATGGGAATTTCTAGATTAAAAGAAATATAAATATAAGGGACTGTGCTACCCCAATTAAGATATGGGGGTTAGGGGTAGCCAATACCAGCATGAATTAAGCTGTCCCTCTCTGTGAGGGGCTGGGGGACTCAGGGAAGACAGCTTTCTGCCTGATGGGGAGGGAGTGGGCTTCCCAGAGAAGATGAGCTGGGCTTTGTGGGCTGAGTAGAAGTTCACCAGGCAGAGAAGATGGGAAAGACATTCCAGGCAGAAGGAACAGGGAGATCAAAGACAGGAGGAGAAAGAGAAAGGCGTGTGTGTGTGTGTGGGGGGGGAGCAGCATGGCTACAGGGGGTGGGGTGGGTGATGGAGGAAGGCAAGGAGGAGAGGGAATGGGGCTCAGCTCTGCAGGGCCCCGCGATGCCACGCTAAGGAATGTGGACCTTGCCCTTCAGTTGATGGGACAAGGGAAGGCCAGGATCAGCTTTGTAGTTGAGAAAGTTATCAGGCTGACATGGGGCAGAGGAAGGTCCAGGGACAGCCAGACCAATGGGGAGGCTCCTTCTCTGGCCCAGGTGAGAGATGATGATCTCCTAGACCAAGGCAGGGTTTGAACCAAGAAGACATTTCTACTTCATCAAATGCATATAGTACTTGCTGTGGCTGGATGTGGCGCTGGACTTCCATCGAGGTTGTCTCACTGAATTTCTCAGCCGGGCTTGAGAGAGGAGGAGAAATCAGGGAAAGTCTGGTAGATGCAGCAGTGTTAGCTGAGATGGGGCAGGGAGCTGAGAAAAGGGGGGGATTGGCAGGAAATGCAGTGCCTCTCCCTGCCCAGCTTCTGCCTGTGCCCATGGGTCCCCCCTCCCTACTCCTCCCTGTTCAGCTGGAGCGCAGGCCCAGGCCCCGATGGGTGGTTGATGGATCCGTCCTCTCCATGGGCCTCCCTCCTTCCCTCTGCTCCCTCCTTTCGGGGATGGCTCTGCCTAAACACAGATCTGTCTGCACTCTTGGCTGAGAACACCTCCCGGGCTCTCACTGGTTCTGGATAAAGACTGAACTCCTTCGTCTACTGTTCTGGGCTTTTCATGGTCTGAGCTCCCCTCCCTACTCCCTAGCTTCAGCTCTGCGTGTCCCCCTCTCTTAAAAGGACTTGTGTTCCAAGATGCTCCAGTCTTTCCCTCTCCTTCAGGCTTTTCACAATGATGATGGTGATGATGATGGTGATGATGATGGTGATGGTGATTATGATGGTGATGGTGATAATGATGGTGATGGTGGTGATGATGATGGTAATGATGATGATGATGGTAATGCAATAGCTCTCCAGAACTCTTCATCTTACACAACTTCTCTTTACCCGTTAAACAATGACGCCTCGTCCCCCTCCTGTCCGTCTGCAGCAACCACCATTCTACTCTCTGTCTCTGTGACTCTGACTACTCTAGATTCCTCATATAAGTGGAGTCGTACAGAACTTATCGTTTTTGTGATTGGCTTATTTCTTCCTGTTTTATCCATGCTGTTGCAGAACTTCATGCCTTCTTAAGGCTGGATGGTGTTCCCTTGCATGGATAAACCACACTTTATTTATCCATTCTTCTGTGCAGGGACACTTGGGTTGCTTTCACCTCCTGACTACTATGAAGAATGCAGCAAATATCTCCTCGAGGCTAGCCCCATTTTACAGGGGAAGACAGAGGCTCTGGGCGGGCAGATGACCTGCCCAAAGGAGGAGTCTCACCCAGTGTCCCCAAAGGCAGGCTCCTTCTGCCTCATTGCACTGCCTTCTTTATGACCTACTCCCCTCCGCCACCCCGTGCCACCCCATGGGCCGCACTTGCAGAGACCTCTTGATCCCTGAAAGTTCAGGCACAGGGACTGGTGGGCACAACCCCAGTCGTTTGTCCCCCATCACAGCCTCTTGTGTCAAGAAACATGTCCCACTCATTTGCCAGATATGGACCAAGGGCCAGGCACATTCTGGGCACTGGATGAGGACCTGGTAAGTGACAAGATGTGAGCAACTGTAGGGCAGGGACTTTTGTCCCATTCACTTCCTGCTGACCCCTCGGGCCTACAGGAGCGCTTGGCACACAGCAGGTGCCCAATACATGTTTGTTGGGTGAATGTAGAGCCAGGTGGGATCAGGAGCCCAGGGTTCCATCCGCCCACTGGTGCTGGCCCTGAGCAGACCCCTCTCCTGTGGAAAGGGGAAGCCCTCCCTGGTGGGCCTCTCTCCCCAGGCATGTGGGGAGGTTAGGCCGTGCTCTGGGGGGAGCAGCGGCCAAGGGCATGGGTGGGCAGCTGCAGAGAAGCCGTCTCCCCTTTGCCCTGCAGATCGCCTTTGTCCCTGCTGACTCTGAATTCCAAGGCGTCCTGTCCCCAAAGCCGCTGGGCTTGCTGGAGAACGGACTCACTGCCGAGATGAAGAGGTAGGTGCTGGGCCCTCTGTGCTTGGGAGGGGGGAGGGGGGAGGAGCAGTGACCCCCTCAGTGAGGCAGTGAGCAAGTCTCCCCTTAGGGAGGAGAGTGAAGGAGTGGGGTGGAGGGTGGACAGTGTCTCCTCCCTGGGCTCCAGACCTTCCCACTCTACTAAGAGCAGACTGTTAGAAATCACGGATTGTTCTGAACTCTCAATTCCATGAGGCAAGCATTATCATTCCGATGAGGAAACGGAGGGTCAGGACTTTATCCTGTCTTTCAGTGAACTAGTGGCAGACCAAAATCAAAGTCAGGTTTGACCCTAAGTCCCAAAGAGCTGTGACCACGACGACAGTAAACAAGGGGCATGAGGATGGCCGGCACAGCCCAGGGCTCTGCCACTGTCCGCCGCGTGACTTTGGGAAAGTGGCGTGCCTCTCCTTGCCCCTCTGTGAAATGGGGATATTAATGGTACCTTCTTCCAGGGGCATCCCTGATATAATAATATAAGCAAAGTGCTAAGAACGGAACCTGGTGCATGGTAGGCCCTTGGTAAGTGTTTGTCATCATTAGTAAGAAGAGCCTCCCTTGCATCACAGGTGACTCAGACACTTTGCCCCACTTCCTCCTTCAGTCCTCACAGGAACCCTGTGATGGGGAGCGGAGGGGCGTCCAGCCTTTCATACAGACGTGGAAACTGAGGCTCAAGAAGTGTAAGCACAAGCCTCAAACCCACAGGCAGTCGGTGACAGATCACACCAGCCCTGCTTTTGTCTCTGAAGGCGGCAAGCCGTGGCTCGCCAGGACCTGGCAGGGAGCACGTCAGCCTGGGAGAGACGGGGGACCGGCCGCCCCTTCCGGCCCCCAGAGGCTGTAACTCTGTGCTCAGGAGGCCTGGGGCAGGTCCAGGGTCCGGCTGGGCTCTTGAACGCTCCCTGCTTTGCGGGGGGAAGGAAGTCCTGGTGGCATTTTATGTTCTGACACAGAGCGACCAAATGTTCTGGGGAAGGAGATGACAGACCCGGGGTGGGCCTGGGGCCAGCCTCAGGACCGGCCGCGTGGGGAGAGCCGCTGTGACAGAGCCCGGGCTCGTGCTGCCCTGAGTTCCGGGCTCCTTCCCGTCACTTCTCAGCCGTGGGACCCTGGCAAGGGACCTAGTCTGTGCGTTTCACTTTCTGGAGGGACTGTAGGGAGCAGCAGGAAACGTGATGTCTGAGCCCCAGCACCAAGCCCGCTAGGCTCCGTGCCTCAGTTTCCCTCAGTACCTCCCAGAGTTAGGAGAGGATCGGATGAGCTGCCTGACAGAGCCCAGCAGACAGAGAGCAGCTCAGTACTGCTGCTATGTCCTCATTGGAAAAACGGGAATGATCATTCTGCTTAAAGGTGTTCAGAATAATCATTCTCGTTTTCCAGCGAGGACACAGCATAGCCTGTGACTCAGTCAACTTCAGTCCACGAGACTGGTCTTCTTTTGCGGTTGCTCTTGGGGGTGAACTTG